CGGGTTATTTGTTTTTTGGGTGTTAAGGCATATGTGTTCTTTATATATTTGGGATGTCAACCCCTTATTTGATGAGTTATTTATGAATATATTCTCCTATACTATAGGATGCCTTTTTGTTCTGCTCATGGTGTCCTTTGCTATAAAGGACATTTTTTATTTTGTTTCCATTGCCTGAGGGGATGTGTTCAGGAAAAAGTTGTTCATATTTATATTCAAGAGGTTTTTGGCTGTTTTTCCTCTAAGAGTTAGTTTTATGGTTCGATGACTTACATTCAGATCTTTGATCCATTTTGAGTTTACTTTTGTGTGTGTAGTTAGACAATAATCCAGCTTCATTCTCTTACATGTAGTTGTCCAGGGTGATTTGACATATGCACAGACAGAAGAGAAGGCAATATGACCACAGAGGCAGAGACTGGGGTGATGCTACCACAAGCCAAGGTATGGCAACACATACCAGGACTGGGCTGAGGCAAAGAGCAGGTTCTCCCTTAGTTCTTGGGAAGGAGTGTGGTCCTGTCAACACTTTGATTTTGATGCAGTGGTCTGATAGCAGACTTCTGCCTCTAGAACTATGAGAGAATAAATTTCTGTGTTTTTAAGCCACTCTATGATTGTTTCTGCAGCTCCAGGAAGCTAATGTAAGTGCCCACTTGTTTCAACTGCATAGTCTGTATCTGTGGGTTAGGTGACACCCATATCGAAGGGTCTTTGTCCTATTTGTCCCTTTCTGGCAGTTAATTACCAAGCAGAACAGAACTTTTCTTACATTAGTAGAAACTTTACTTGAGACACTGGAATTTTAGAGAGGTACAGAAAGAAAAATAATACACTTAACTACTGTTGATTCATTTAGTAAACATTCTGTAAGTGCCTGCTATGTATCAATCTTTGTCCTAAGTCCTGGACTAAAACTGAATAAGACAGGATAAGACAGAATTCTTGTGCTCAAGGAGGTCAGTTGATGAGGGGTATATGACACACAAACATACAATTAAACTAATATGTGGAAAATACACTACTGGTTGTGTGCGAGGGGAATTAGGAACACACTGATGAATGCACAGACCACAAGATGAGCCTGGGAGCGTGGAGACAGGCAGGCTAGGAAAAGCTTCATGGCAGAGGTGTGCCTCTGAGCTGACACATAAAGGTATTTTGAAGTCCAGAGTAATACAACAGGCCAAAAGGGTAATCTTTAATCAGTTTTTCTCCCATGGATTTCATAGTTTGAAGGACACTGTCTACCAAAAAAGAAAGCTTCTGTGTTTGTTAAGTCATAACTAATAGATCAAAAACATCTGTAACTGCCAAACAGAATGTATAACCAGCATAGGATGATTACTACAATCTTGCCAGTATTTCAGTCAAAAGCAAAGGTGTTTTGTCATTTTTTTTTCCTGTGAAGTCTTCCTGGCCAAAGTGTGATTTTTTTTTTCTCATTATGATTTTGGGAATACTGACATAGCTGCAGAACTCTCTCCTTATTACTTTCAAGGACAGCCTTTCCTATCTTGGGAATAACAGTAACTACTTGTACTAAACAATCTGGCTTAGAGAGAATTGAAAAGAACGTCATTCATGAGAGTTCTCCTGTAACAGGGCAATGTCTGTGCCCCTGGGGATAGCTGGCAGTACTGTTTCCTTGTAAGGCAACATCAACAGTCGTATCCTGGGCCCCTTTCAGAGAGCTCCTGCAGAATAATAGTGATAAATATAATACTCAGTTTGTATAGCAATCTATCATTTTACAAAAGGATTTCACAGAAGTATCTGATTGTGGGTTATTTGAACCATGAGCAAATCCTGTCTTGCCATCTCAGGCAAGTTTCTCTTATTTTTAAATTTTTTTCATCTTCATGGCAATGCTCTTACTCTTCCAGTTAACATAATTCTTTTCCAGCCCTATTGAGATGTAATAATTGACATATAACATTGTGAAAGTGTAAAGTGTACAACACGTTGATTTGATACTTGCAGACTGAAAAATGATTGCTATCCTAGTTTTAGCTAACACCTCCATCACCTCACATAGTTACCATTTCCTTTTAGTGGCAAGGAAATTTAAGATCTACTCTTTTACCAACTTTCAATTATGAGGTCAGCATTCACCATGTTGTATGTTAGCTCTCTGGAACTTAGTTATCTTCTAACTGGATGTCTCTACCTTTCAATCAATAGCTGCCCATTTTCCTTACCCCCTGAGGCAAATTTCTTAATCTCTTTTAGCTTCAGTTTCCGAGTCTATAAAGATAGGGTGCTGAGATCCATGTGAGAGCTATTCTAGAAATTAAGTGAGATTTTTGTATATGAAGTGCCAAGGACAATAGCTGACTCTTAGTAGGTACAAAGTAAGAGGTGGAGCCATTAATTTTGTCTTATTTTATTCTCTGAAAGTAGATGAACTTTAAAAAATTGTCTCTAGCCATCGAAATACTGAAAAGACAACCTATAGAATGAGAAAAATGTTTGCAAACCATGTATCTGATAAGGAGTTAACATTCACTATATATAAAGAACTCATATAAGTCAATAGCAAAAAAAACCAAAGAGCCCAATTAAACAATGGGCAAAGGATCTGAATAGACATGCAAAACGCCAACAGGTACATGAGAAGATGGTCAGTATCACTCGTCATCAGGGAAATAGGAATTAAAACCACCCTGAGATATCTCCTCATGCCTGTCAGAATGGCCATCACCAAAAAAGAAAGGAGTATAACAAATGCTAGCAAGGATGTGGAGAAGAGGGAGCCCTTATGCAGTGTTGGTAGGGTTGTAAATTGGTGCAGCCCCTATGGAAAGCAGCATGGAGGATCTTCAAAAAATTAAAAATAGAAGTACTATATGATCCAGCAATTTCATTTCTGGGACTATATCCAAAGAAAATGAAAACACTAACTTGAAAAGTTATTTGCACTCCATGTGCATAGCAACACGTTTATTACAGCAAAGACTTGAAAAAATGTGTCTGTTAGTGGAAGAATGGATAAAGGAAATGTGGCATGTATGTGCAATGGAACATTATTCAGCCATTAAAAAAAAGGAAATCCTACCATTTGGGACAACATGGATGGACCTCAAAGGCATTACACCAAGTGAAGTAAGTCAGACGGAGAAAGACAAATAATGTATGATGTCACTTACATGTGGACTCTAAAACTAACAAACAAAAACTCAAGAGGAAGAGACAATTTTGTGGTTATCAGACGTAGGGTGTGGGGCAGGGAGGGAACTGGAGGAAGGTGGTCAAAACGTAGAAACTTCCATTAAAAAACAGAAGAAAGTAGTAGCAGTATCATGTAACATGATGACTATAGCTAACACTGCTGTAGGACACATAGGAAAATTGTTAAGAGAATAAATCCTAAAAGTTTTCATCATAAGAACACTTTTTACCTTTGTCTTTTTTGCTTTTTATTGTATTTCTATAAGAAGCTGGATGTTGGCTGAACCTATTGTGTTAATCATTTGACAATATATATAAATCAAACCATTATGTTGCACATCTCAAACTTATGCAGTGATGTATATCAATTATTTCTCAAAAAAACTGGAAAAAGAGAAGAACTGAGTTGATTAAGCAAAAAAAAAATTGTCTCTTATTCTACTGTTCTTTAGTTGCTTCACTCCTCTCAACTCATGACAAGAACCAATCCATTTTGCCAGACCATCCCCACTTCCCATCTATGAAATTATGGCCCTAGGATAGTTACTTGGTCTAATTTGAGGAGTACCAATGTGTCCCAGCATTTAACTTTCCTTCAGTGATGTCACTCCATGTGCTCTTTTTTCTGGTCGTTTAGCATGGTCAGTAAGAACAGGATGTTATTGGTAAATAGTATGTTTCCTGACTCCTGAAAGATTTGAGGCAGTTTTCAGGATTTGATCATGCATGTACCAGGAAAGTTGTGTATCAAAAAGAGATGGCAGACTATTAGAGAACTTTGTGAAATGCAACTGGGACTTGATATAGATTAATTCAAATTCTGCAGTCTTTTATCAGTTGGTGAAATTAATTGAGAAAAGTACTTTACATATAGTAAGGGAAGTATTTTATGAAATTTTTGTTTTGATTACATATGGCATGCATTGTTATTTCATTAAAAAAATGTTTTCTGTTAAAAAGGGGTTGAAACTCATGCAATTAGGCCACTAGTAGTTGACTTTTTCTGTCACTTGTGAAAATTGGCAAGATTTCTGATTTAACAAAACTTTGTACTTATTTTGCATGAGACAATCTTTTTTGTGAATGACTTTTTTTTCCTCTTCCCTAATACCAATACACTGCAGTGGAGGACAGGTAGTCGTGTGTCAGTCAATCCCATAGTCCTCTTCACCCTTCACCAGCCCCTGGCACAAGCTTGAGAGGATTCCTATTACTAAACAGATTCAGATACTAGGTAATAAAATGCACATTTCTAAAGTGAATCGGAGCTTCCTTAAAGCCCCTGAGAATTACGTCAGCTTTAACCATTAAACCCCCTGGGTTCTATTCACTTAGAATTTTCTTCAAAGCTTTGCATCCCTGTGGGCTGAGGGAGGGATGAGACCAGAGAAGGGGGAGGTCGAGGGAGGCGCCCTTAGGTAAGAGCTGTTGTTTGGGGGTGGGATGAGTTGCTGAGCACGGGCGGGAGAAGGGGGACGGGAGTCCAGGAAAGGCTATTTCCGGCTCAGATTTCGTTACCAAGGCTCTTTGAGTTGAACTTCTTGGGGAAACCCACCAGTCCCGAAGACCTCGGGGTGTGTGTGTGTACGAGGGGCGGGAGAGTGCCCACTTGGGCGGGAGGGTGCCCACTTGGGTCTGAGTGTCGCTCTCCGCATCCCTGCGGGTCTCGCAGAGCGGGGCAGGCCGGGCAGAGGCGGCGAGGACGCCTCCCGGGTACCCCCCCACCGGGACCCCCTGCACCGCGGGCACCGCAGCCGCAGGCTCGCCCGAGACAAAGGGCGGGCGCGGCGGGCGGACTCTTGAGCCCGGCGGCGGGGCGGGGAGCGCGGGGCCGGGGCCGGGGCCGCGGCGCGCTGCAGCCCGGCTCCGGGGCTCAGACCCGCCCGCGCTGGCTGGGCGCCGGCCCCCGGGCTGCCACTCAGCCTCTGACCCTCGGCCCACCCCCGGCCCCCCCGCAGGCGGCGCGACGGTGACCGCAGCCCGGCCGCCGGCGCTCCTCGTCGGGCCGGCGGGCGCAGAGCGCGCGGCGGCGGGGCGGGCGGCATGGCCGTGTCCTGGAGGAGCTGGCTGGCCAACGAAGGGGTTAAGCACCTCTGCCTGGTAGGACGGCGGGCGAGGCTCTCCCGGCGGTTTGTCTGTCGTGCCGCGATTTTGATTCATTCTCTGAGCGTGCGCGGGTGGGAAGCTGGGAGTGGAAGTTTTGCCTCTCAATTCAAACATTCTCAACTAACAAAACTGCGCTGTTAATACGTGGGGACAATAACGACCCTCTTCCCCAAATGCATGGGAACCCTCCTACCCACCGACGGCAGAGCGGATGTGGAGGAAGGGAGAGATCAGTTTCAGGGAGCACAGCTTTTCCTTAACCCTTTACACATCTATCCCTTCTGCTCTTTTCCCACATTGCTTGTGTTTGATGTATTTTAACATACAACTCTTGGACTTGGTGAGGCCACTAATTTCTCAGTCTCATTTTGTACTTAAGGGGTACATCTGCAGATCGTTTAAGAGACCTGTTTGCAACCCAAATGTCTAATGTCAGGTGCAGGAACTGAGTGAGGCCAGATTTGTTTTCCTCTGTCTGGTTGGTGTTCAGCTTTCTGGTTAATTGCAAATGCTTTCTGCAATTACTATTTGGAGCTCCATTGAAAGTATTGTATCCACCAATGTACCTGAGGTTTCCATTGACCAGGTAATGTTTATTTTTAATTTTTGTTGTCTCTCTCCCTTTGTATGAATTAGTTTATCTGGCTCTCACTGAATGTCCTGCTTTTCTGGAAAACCTTCCTGCTGTATAACCAAGGGCCAGAGTATCACTACCTCCACCAGATGCTGGGGGTAAGTGGGACTCGGGTGACCTGGTGGAATGGGTTTAATGTGGGCAGACATTGCTACAGGGTTTGGTCAGTTCCAACAGTCATTAAAGAAACATCGGTTGTTCACTTCAAAAGCATTTCTTGTTCTCTGAGGCGCTCAGATTTCCCTGACTTAGCAGTTACACTTGTCCAGGTGAAAGTGATTGACTCTCTTAAAAACCAGATAGTTTCCTAACCACGAAAGGAATGAAAGTGCCAGACCAGGCTAGCAGCGGCTGAAAAATGTTGCAACATCTTGCCAGCCGCAAAGTGCTCTGAAGGATCTGCTCCCCCAGGACCAACCAATACCAGGCTTTTAGTTTTCACTAATCAAGACTTCAGCCTGCCTGTAAGCTTATCCAGACTGCACTATTTCCTTTTACTGCTGGTTCTCAGAGTATGTGTTTAATGCAGTAATTCACGTCTGGGTATTTCTGATTGCTTGCCCTGAGGGTACTGGCTTATTAGGGTTCCTGTATTCTCGTCTAATATTAGAAAGATATTGTGCAAAATTTTGGTCTGATTCATTTCATGTTGATATTGTTTTTTTCTCTATTCTTTAATGTGTCTGATCTCATTCTTCCTCTCTATCCCCTTCCTACTTGAATCCCTAACAAAAGACCGGCACTGAGGACATCTTACTTTGTATAAGGAGATAGCATTTTCTAAGCAACAAACAAAAAGTTTAGAACATAATGAAAAAAATCTCAGGGCACCTGAAAAAGCAGATTTTGTCATTCCTTTTCACTGAGGGAGAAAATACATTCTAAATAGGAGATGCATTGTTTTCTTTTTCCTGGTTTAATGGCTATTTGAAATAATGGTTAGATCAAAGGAATTCAGTGGAACCAGCCTCCCATTTCCTGCTTTTACATTTACAGATCTTCACATATCTTTAAACTTGGTACACATTAAAACTGCAATAAATTGAGCCTAAATTAATTAATTGGTATTTTATTGTATTCAATAAAGTCCTATTTTTTCATTATCGGTTACACAATTGGTATTTTTAAAGCTTAACACCTATTCTTTAAAGAACTTATTTTTTTAGGCTGTTTAAGGTTCACAATAAAACTGAGGATAAGGTACAGATATTTCTCATATGCCCTCCTACCCCCACATATGAACAGCCTTCCTCATTATCAACATCCTCCAGAGTGACATTTATTACAATTGATGAACCTACTCTGACACATCATAATCACCCAACAGCTTTATTTTTAACTAATGGGCAGAGAAAAATAGTCTCAAAGAGTAAACTCATTTTACTGGTAACTCTTAAATCTGAACATTTCTTTCTTTCTTTCACCCAACCAACCTGACATCTAACCATTCAGCAAACGTCTTGAAACCTATGCTTTTCAAAGGGGCACACAGAGAGCAAGACCTTGCTTGCCCCTGTACTCAGATTGCTTACAATCTAATGGAAAATCCAACAGGTAAATGCTAACACTTCAGTAAACAAGTTAAGAAAAATTCTCTCTAGTAAAAACACATGAAAGTCTGCTGGTCTCTCATTTTCATTTTGTTTCCTAGAAATTCTCCCTTAGGGGTGAATTAGTGAACATAAAGTTTTTCAGTGGGAGATACAGCTGTCCTATCGTAAAGCTTGATGAACAGATTGGAGAAAACTCTTGAGAGTTACAGTGGTAAATTTTGCCATCAAAAATGGTAAATTCTGTTCAGGAGGCATGTGCATTAATATAAAATCTAAGAATAGACAACTTGGAAATCCACAACTGAACTTTGGATTTCAGCTGTATAACATAGTATGGGCTCAAATAATACCTAATTTTGATAGAAACCACGTTAATTTTTAGGAGTCTGTATGCTGTGTAGCAACTTAAGATTTATTTTAGTGACAAGTCAGATATGATGAAGAGTATATATATACACACATATTCACACACATGAAACCCAACTAATTTAAGAATTAAATATGTTCTGCCTCTCTCGACCATCATCCCATGTTAGTGCTTTTGTTTGAATAATATGACTGGCTAGTGAGGTTCAAAGGTGAGGCCTACAGAACAGCTGGCAAAAAGTAGGGACTCAATAAATATTGATTAAATGAATAAAGAAAAAAATAATGAAAGAACTAAATGGAAGACTAAGAGTAAACAAAATGCAAAGAAGTAGATTGAAGAAGAGAAAGGTTGTAGAGTTGCCATGGAAATGTAAGAATGATTATAGGGAGTGGACCCATAATTTACTCCAGTCAAGAGTCAACATTTTATGAAGAGTCACCTTGGAGAGAAAGGTTCTTCTTCCTGGTTTCATGCTGAAAGATGAAAGATGGCTTCCACACTTTTCACTTTTCAGTAATCACCTATATGAAATTTCTAGTCATTAATTTATATCATTCTGCAATAGATATTTCAGACTATATTTTTGGTGCCAAAGGACCTCTACCTATAGTTCTACTACTTGCTTTATGAAGAAGTATTTCTTTTTATTTGTCTTTGGGATAGCTTTTCTAATCTTTTGGTGATTGGAATTTTGTTTCATAGTATAAGAATTTGTAGACATTCTACAAACTGCAAAGAAATATAGTATGACAATGGTATGTAATTCATTTTAAAATTAATTTTGTTCCCATATTTTACATGTTTAATAACTATATATTACTAACTTAATGCCTTTGAGCTATGCATCTTAGAGCCTACCAAACACACAAACATGGTTCTATCATGATACAAAAGCCTGGAAAGGACACATTTTTGATAATTTGATATTATAAGTCTCTTTAAGGTGAATTTTGGGTTCATACAAATCATGATGGTATTTCTCGGAATGAATTTGGTCACTACCACTTTAAAACGCAAATGAAGAGAATGACAATTTGATAATAGCATTGAGTAGAAAGGTTGATAATAGCATTGAGTAGAAAGGTTGCTTTACTCATCTTTAGAAGTAGCGTAATAACAAAGTTGCACTAATACTATGGAAAGGAAGGGTTCCCAGAATACAGCCCATCTGCAGGAGGACACAGACATTGAGAAGCAGTTAATTCTTAACAGTTGGATATCTCTGCTTTCTATTGAAAAACAACTATTTATTCAACTCTTATACTTTTAATATACCAGGAACTTCATAAATTTATTTTGTTTAAGCCAGGAAACTATTGTTCCCATTTTACACATGGGGCAATATAGGCTGGCGAAGCTGAGTGACATGCTCGAGTCCCTTTGGGTGGTTGGTGTCAGAGGTAGGATGTGGATGCAGTTCTGGCTGTACTTTTTGCTTTTTCTCCATACTGCCAAATTTTCTAAACCACTTCCCTTCACTAACTCATCTCAGATACTTATGCCACTGGTTAGTATTACTATTGATCAGTGCTGCCCACTAGAAATATAATGCGAGTCATCTGTAATTTAAATTTTCCCAGTAGTACATTAACATTTTTAAAAATTACCTTTAATAATATGTTTTATTTAAGATAGTATATCCAAAGTATTATAATGGGTTGAAGTATTCAACGTATGATCAATATTTTTTAAATCATTCATGAGAAATTGTATATTATTTTTTGCCAGTATTACATATCACAATTCACTGAGTAAATTTTCATCAGAAATACCTGACCTATGTTTAGATGTCATAAAATTTTGCAGGTGAACAAGTGGATCACAAACCCAAGTTGTCTAAGACATATTTAAAGATTTTCCAATAACATAAATGTCAGCTTTTAAATTTAAATTTGAATTCATGAAATTAATAAACCTAAAAATTCAGTTCCTTGGTGACCCTCGACACATTTCACTAGTTCGATATTGAATGGGCAGTTGTGGGTTCTAATTATTGGCGTGTAACTATAAAAATATCTCTGACTTCTCCCAAATCAATGATGAGAATTTAATTTTTTTCATTGTTTCATGATTATTATTGAGATCTGAGCCTTCTGGTGGCTCTTCCTTTGAGGAAGAGGTAAAAGTCAAAGTATTTGTTCTAGGAACTAGAACATCTGTTTTTATTTCTAGTAGGCTAGGTGACTGTTATCAGACCAAAATGAATGATTTAAAAAATTGCATAAGAACTGACAGGGAAAAGAAGATCTTAATAGATCTTGATAGAAGATAAAATAATGTTGAGATTATTTTGTCTTAGTAGGAGTTTTCATCCTGATCGTTCTTTCCCAGCCTGGTCTTATCCAGACCTGGAGGCAACCCGGTCACGGCTGGTTTATGCCTGAGTTAATGTGCTGATCAGACTCTGCACTTTCTAGGAGATGTTTAATTATGACAGGCTGTGCGTTTGGGAGTCTTAAAATTAGCTAAGAGGAAAAAAAAATCTTTGGAGGGAAGCCAAAGCAAGCACACAAACAAACAATCAAGCCAGATAATATCATCCTCCACTTTCCCATAGGAACCTTTTAAATAAAGAACTCCGCTGATTTCTGAAGATGAAATCCATTTTCGATTTATTTTCAGATGTAGCTTGTACTTTATAATAGAAAGTATTAATGTGTTATGACTGACCCTGCTAAAGATTTTTTGAAATGTTGGGGCAATTTAACTTATAATATTGTCTTTAGAATCCCTCATATGCAAGTTCACCTATATCTCAGTTGTATTTCTGTTGTTTTAATAATTACGTGTCATAATTTAATTGAGGAGAAAATTTTAATTTGAGAAGAAATGTGTTTTATGGCACCAGATTCAATGTGAATTGGTTTTATATCCCCTCTCCCTAAGTAACATTTGCATATATATGGGTTACTTAGTTTCAACCTAGCTACTGTTGTGGTGTGGTGATGAGAATTTAATTTTTTTTCATTGTTTCATGATTATTATTGAGATCTGTTTCCTGGTCATAACAGGTCTTCTTTTTGTCTTCTTTAAACCTCTTACTGAGATACCTATGTTTACTGCAAGAAAGCTGTGAGAATAGAGCTTTTTCTATCCTCACAGTAATGATCTTTCTTTGGTCAATCATTATCTGTTAAGTGATTTAGAAACATTAACTGATTTACCCTTTCAAGAG